AATGGGAGGCTCCTCCCCAGCTTGCTCCTGTGGCCATATGGCTGAGGGCAGGCGAAACTTGGGGGCCTCTGGGCTTGGGTCTGCACATAGGATGCTGACCAAAAGACGCTGGAAATATCTGAAGCCCCTGGTGGGGGGAGAGGATGTTTGCCGGTTGTAGGGCCACTTATGGTTCTGGACTGACGCATGGATTCGGACTTGATTTGGCTGATTTGACTTGGAACATGAAAAAATTCTTTAAAAAAAAAAACCCACAAAAAGCCCACACATACAGCAAGATCTTCAATGTTGCCTATACCACAATTTTCTCATGTGTTTGAGTCAAATTTCAGGACTGGTTGTTCTAATAAAACACATTTTTCAGGATTATTTTGGTTCATTTAAAAAATAAGCACAGTTTAATAGATGTCATAGATGTTACGGCTGGAAAGGACCTCCAGGATCATCAAGTCCAGCCTCCTGTCACAGGGGCAGGAAGTCAGGGTCGAAGGACCCCAGCAAGACAAGCATCCAAGCATTTCCTGAATGAGTCCAGAGTAGGTAGGTGCCTGCACCACATCTGGAGGGAGTCTATTCCAGGTCCTGGGGGCTCGGACAGTAAAGAAATTTTTTCTTATGTCCAGCCTAAAATGGCCAGGTCTATTTCTGAGTGCTGTAACAATGCTCCGAAGACTTTAGAGATTCTCCATTGTAGTATTTATGCTTTAATATGTACAATGTAACCTTGAATGCAAGCACCCAAGTACACTCAAAATTCCCTACTTCCCGCCAAGGATGCAACCCTTACTAGTGTGCATCCAATGAGTGCTGATGCAATTATAATGCTTGTGGAGCAGATGCCATATCTATTATGCCTCTGAGTTTGAAAAATAATGAGGAGAAAGGAAGAGAAGGATACGGAAGGGCAGGGAATACCCAAAATTAGACAGATTAAGGCACAAAGCCAGATGCCCAGTACTATAATTTCTGTATAATTTCCTTTTCTCAAAAGGAAAAAATACATATAAAAACAAAATCTAGGCACTTGGAGAAGACAGTGATTAGGAGCAGTCAGCATGGATTCACCAGGGGCAAGTCATGCCTGAACAACCTGACTGCCTTCAAGATGACTGGCTCTGTGGATGCGGGGAGACCAGTGGATATGTTGCACCTTGATTTTAGCAAGGCTTTTGATACAGTCTCCCACAGCACTCTCACAAGCAAGATAAGGAAGTACAGATTGGATGAATGGGCTGCAAGGTGGACAGAAAACTGGCAGGAGCATTGGGCTCAAAGGGTAGTAGTCAACGGTTCGATGTCTAGTTGGCAGCCAGTATCAAGCGGAGTGCCCCAGGGGTGAGTCCTGGGGCCGATTTTGTTCAATATCTTCATTAACAACCTGGAAGATGGGACAAAATGCACCCTCAGCAAGTTTACAGATAACACCAAGCCATGAGGAATAAATGAGAAATTGGAGGATTAGACCAAAAGAAATCCCATGAGGTTCAAGAAGGAGAAGTGCAAAGTCCTGCACTTAGACTGAAATAATCCCAAGCACCAGTGCAGGCTGGGGATGGACTGTCTACGCAGAAAATGACATGGGGGTTGCAAAGGACAATAAGCTGAATATGAGCTAACAGTGTGTCCTTGTTGCGAAGAAGCTTGATGGCATACTGGGCTGCAGTGTTCCCAGCAGATCAAGGGAAGTGATCATTCTTCTCTATCTGGCACGGGTATGAAGCCACATCTGGAGCACTGTGTCCAGTTTTGCCACTTCTGAGAGATGACATGATGTAACGTTAGTATATTACATGGAGACACTTGAAAGGGAGGCAATGGTGAAAGTTGCCAAGCACCCATTCCATCTTCCAGGAAAACAAAAGAAAGAGAAATAGATGAAATGGAAGTGGGATGGGGGAGAAAAGGGACAAGGACACAAAAAATACAGTGCATGTAATGGGTGTATTGAAAACACTACAGTTGCTGGAACAGTACTTACAACTCATCTTGGATGTTATCTGTCAGCTTGAAGAGCTGTTCTTGTCCTTCTGCTTGGCTTTCTGAATACCGTGGCAGGAGCCCTTGGGGATTTCTACAGCAGCGTGGCTTCCTCACTCTCTCAGCTTGTGCCCTACATACAACACATGCACACAAAACTCAGTTGCATTAATTCACTCAATATATTAAGTCACTGTATAGACACGGTATATTTTTGACATAGAAAAGCCACTAAATTAGGCTTTTATTGGCACCTGCTCTATTTTTAAACTGTAATACAGGTTTCCCTTGCTTTAAGCTGTACATGCGTTCCTGGAAAATGGCACATAACTCAAATTCGCATCAAGGGAACCCACTTTACAATGTAACAAATAGGAATACGTTTCAAGACCTCGACTGTACTGACGCCCAGACCCATTTCTACCACTTTTACAAGGCCATTTTGGTACTCACCAAAAGAAGACAGTACACACAAGCACAGGGCACTATCATAAGGGGGAGGGCAACTACAGAAACACGTGCCACAGACAATGAGCAAGGAGCACAGATACACACAAAAGATTATATTTTGGCGCGCGTCATTCCCACAATGCACCGCACAAAGATCACATAAGAGTGAATTTACCTTACATATAATGAATTTTTTTTTATATAAAAAGGGTCATCGCATAAGAGCGAATTTGCACATACAGAACCCGCATGAAGTGAGGGAAACCTGTATTATATTTGGGGGTGGTCTAAGCAAATATGCAGGTGGATCCACTTTTTTCAATTCTCCACTGCAGGCAGGTCTCAAATTGAAATCAAAGTAATTTGAATTGGATTGAATGGTGCTGCATAGGATACCCAGTTCTGCTTTACTCTCTGCCTCTTTCAAATAGCACCACTTTGGGTACGCTGCATGCTCTTCAGGTATCTCTTTCGGGTTATTCTAATTCTTCAAGAGGTTATTTAGAGCCAAATGGCGTATTTCTGATTAGTCCACTCTGTCTGCTCTTAATGCTTTCTACAGGCCCTGCAGAATGAACTGCTTTTGTCTTTTTGATCTGAAAGGAAAAATCCCACATCGCAATGAGGTTTTTAAGCTGCTTGGCAATAGCGGACAAGAGTACTTGCCTTCTGCAGATGTTTTCTCTGGAGTCTTGTTGTTTCTTTAGTACCTTTCCCCTTCAGCAACTCTGTCCCCAATTCACCAACCCTCCCCACCCCCCAGTCTTGAGTTCACAAAAGCCTATGTTTATGCTATATATCTTATTTAGTTAGTCTAAAGTGTATACCCTTCTGGGACAGACTTAGACAAGCTTTCCGGTATCCCCAACCATGCAGTTGGTCTAATAAAAGGAATCACCCGCAAAAATTCTTGTCTTGCACAAATTCACTTGGCGTTTAGATTACTGCTGCTTTATTCTGCGTCAGGGATGTATTTGGAGGAAGCAGAGTTCATGGTGAATCACCAAAAGTTGGCAAATCTGTACTTCCACATGTGATAAACAATTTAAGAATTAACTTTATTAGGTTGTTAGATCATCAAATGCTTCAATATATAGTGAGTCTCACAGTTTCATAGTTTCTAGGGTCGGAAGGGACCTGAGCAGATCATCTAGTCCGACCCCACCCTATGAGATGTCTCATTTCTGGAGAAACATCTATCACTGCTTCTGACTGGAAGACGCTACAGAGGAAACAAAACAAAAAAAAAA